AAAAGAGCATTTCGACTCATGGGTGTATGGAAGTATATAATCGGTTATTCATTGATAATTTTTTAATAATTTTTTTTCATATTATTTTTTATATTATTTCATAATTTTTTAATCACGTCATCTTTCAAATAAAAGATCAACCCAAAATCTCTTTTTTTATATCTTCTTTTTAAATTTGTACATTCATTAATGTATATATGCTATTAATCTATTTTGTCGTAGTTTCGTTTTATTTTTGTTGTGCACAATCGCATCAACTTGACAGGTCCAATCGTAATACTATTTTTAATATGACATTTTACATCATTTTACACAACATAATTAATATAATTATTAATTATGTTGTGAAAAAAATTTATCGTTGCTAGCCCATTTATATCAGCGATTCGAGATTATTAGTATATGAAATCATTTATCGCTGAATATTGTTTGCATTAATCTGGATTGAAGTAATGATGTTTCATGCTCTCCCATTGGTAGAGCATGTAACATCAACCAAAAGCGAAGCATTTCCTAACCCAGGTTGGTGCAAATCCAGTTGGGCCGAAAACGCTATTAAAGTTCCTCTAGTAAGAATTAAGACATAAGAGCACTATTATCGGGTGTCGGGTACCAGGGAATCGATTCTATATCTTGAAATGAGGTGAAAATTATAAAAATGAACGAATTTATTAGAATACTGATTATTTCATTGGTCAACATCATAATAAATTTGCTCGCTTTTGTAATTTTCACTTTGAAGATACAGAATCGACTCCTAGAAACAGCACAATTCCGTCAAGATTGACAGTTGATAGTCTGATTTCGCATTCGCGCCTTCTATATCATGAAACAGTTGTTACATGCAACACGATTATATGAATCAGATATCGATTTATCATCTCCAGCCTTGAAAAGTAGATGTTGCTATGTAGTTTATATCCACTTTGTCAGAGGGCAGTAGTGCGCGGCATTTTGCAGTTCATGTCCTCTCTCAAGTTTCTCTGTGTTTTAATTAACCTCTAACCTAACCTAACCTAACCTTTATCTGTTATCTGATTCTAACCTTCGCAATCTATTTTTTTAGTGGCAAATAAAATACTCGTTTAGTGGCAAATAAAATACTCGTGCAATTATTTAGAAGATTATTATTCACTAAGAATTCAATATAATTTTCAGATGTCTGAATTAACGGAAGTTGAGAGTAGTAAAATTTTCGGAGGCTGGCAGAAAGTATATACACACAACAGGTAAATGTACAAAACATATTCAGATAGCAAAGCGTGTCTCAGCAAAATCGCACAAATCTATGATGCTAGCTATTTGCCGTAAATATATTGCCAGCAGTTTAACAGTAAGATAGCTGCATCAATGTTATCTTGTCGGCAATATGACATATATTGTATGATGCTGCATATTATTAAGGCAACATGATGGCAATAGTACTAATTTTAATGACTATTTTAAAGTAGTCGGCAAATTGCTGGCAATTTGCTATTCAATATTATCATTCCGTGAAGGCTTTAAGTTGTCAATAAATAAGAACTCAATTGCAATTCTGATGCAACACGTACTTAACAATGCACACTTAGCGAACAACATGCCAATAACAAGACATGTTGCTTAGTTGTTATCTGGGATATGATTTATATTTATATACAAAAAAATCAGTAATCTCTAAGAATTTGTTCCTGAATTTGATAATTATTTAGAATACTCTTCCTTATCTAAAATCTTAATAAAAATATACATTCGAAAGGTTTTCACTCAAAATGAAAAAAATCTGGCAGAAAAACGTTGTGATCGGCTTCGTGAATCGATTTATTAAATGTTAAAATTAAATGTTCAAGACTTCAGAGTTTAAGCGTTCAAGTTGGGAACAGATATCTTAATTTCATCTCGAACTTTAACGCTTAATGCTGATTCTACAATGAGTCAATAGTCGAAAATCTTAAGTCTTAGTCAATTTTAATCTAAATAAATGATTTTTCGCATCTACTAGTTATTAATTGTCAACAGCGAATTGTTTAGTTCGATTAATGGAAAGGAATAAAATCGAATTTAGTCAGTCTTAAGAAAATTGGCCAATTTCACTGATTCACTGAAGATTTAAGATGCTGCTCATGATAATTGAAATTTCGAAAAATGCAATCTCGAAAAAATAATAGAGGATCAACCAACCAGAATTAATAGGATGCATTACACATACACGTTAAATAAAGATTATCAAAATTGAATGTCTATACGTATGAAAAGAAATTCATTATTAATAAATAATTGTTTGATAAATATTCATTAATATATAAGTATTTATTTTTTCAGCATATAAATATAATCATTTATATCGTTGGGGAAAATTGCATGCTTGTCGGTCCGAAATTTTTATGGCTGAATTCTCCATGCACTGACTTTTTCGGAAAACGAATTGTTATTTTAATTTCAAACTGTCTTTTAATTTAAAAGATTTTCAAAACAAATTAAATAAAGTCGTTTCGAGTTTATATAGACTGACTTTAAATTAATACAATTAACATAAGAATGTAAATACTATAATAATCTAAATACAATTAATAAAATAATAAAATTACAAACATTTCGGCTTACAGTTTTCTTCAGTGTACAAAGCAAAAATACATTATTAAATTAACGAATCAATTAGATAGCGCATATAATAAAATATTTAAAAAAAACCATCAGTGGTAATATGTCAATTCATATAAAATTCGAATGTCAAATTGTATTAAGACAAATTACATAAAATAAGAAGAACGAAATACCTTGGTCAAAAGGAAGGCACCAAATTGTATACAGAATTTGTATTATCTGACATTGTTAGCAAATTGCTGCCAGAAATATAACAAATCCTGCTAGACATGCTATGCCAGCAGATTGATAGCAGAAACCGAGCAAAATCTTGCATAACCTGACGGCAGATTGAGAGTAGATTGAGAACAGACTCTGATCGGTTTCTGCCATTAATTTGCTAACAACAGACTTTGTCGAACAAATCTGTAGTCAAATGCGGACACAGATGATATATAGTTTTGTAGTCAAAATCTGATGGAATTTGTTGTCAATTTGGTTCCAAATTGCTAACATTTTGCTATCAGAGTTCAAATTTAGTGAACGGAATCAAAAATCTTTTTACAAGATTAAAGTAGACGCAAAATTTGGATGTGGTACAATATATTTTGTACTAAAATCGGAAAAAAAGTTCAAAATTTACATTTTTTCAACACAACGCATATTGCACTATCGTGCACAAACAATACTGAGTTTATGAAATTAAGATTAAAAACTTCAAAAGAAACATTTATATCGAATGACATGTATACGAACTCTGAGCGAAGACTCGGTAATTAAAGGCAATAATTGTATCTAGCAGTAAATGTTCGATTTTTCTAAAGCCCATTCTACAATCAGTCATATATCGAAATCGGTCGTCGTACGCATGCGCATTGGATTGTCGGCTGTCGAATGAAGTTGTCGCAAGTCGGCTATTGTCGGAATAGAAGATGGTCAATTCCCTTTTCCGACTACGACTAAATGAAACATAACCTTCGGACAAATTTATGTATGAATAAACAGATATTTTTATATGGATATATGGATATATTTATATTGTGGAATCACTAAATGTAGATGAAATAATTGATTTTGTTCGCGAAAATCATTGCTTGTATGATAAACGCGATGTGGATTTTAAAAATGTTAGCAAAAAAAGAGATCTGTGGTAAAAAATATCCACAAATTTGAGAAACTGTTATGATATAAATATGTCAGATAATTTTTTGCTTATTAAATTATTATTATTTAATATAAAAATATTTTGTAATTTAATTCTTTTGTCAAACTTAAGAAAATGCCTATAAGATACTAGGTGAATTCGTGTATATAAATTTATTCAAGTTTAATAACTTGAATAATATATGTTTCGATCATCGTTTTGATCCTTTTCAATATTATAAAACTAATTAAATCAATACATAGTAGTCAAGTAAGTGGAGTCGCATTATTCTACAACCATGTGTTGTGTTTGTGTAAACTTTGTTACAAGTTCGAGCACCAGAATATATTTAATTTCCAGATTAAATGATAAGTACTTGTAACACTGCATTTAATAATATTGACAGATTGCTCGTTCGATGTCATTAAAATGTCAGCAAATGATATTCATTCTTTATATTTGTTCCGACCTTCTGACTTCGATCAACGACTCAATTGTAGAATAGTAAATCGTATTCATGTGCGACATACAACATACGACAAACTACTGCATTCAAATTATGATTTTGAAGCTTATAAGAGAAATGGCTCGAGAAGTACGATTTGAATGTACATAACCTCGCATTCATGTGATATATATATAGGATATAGCAGAGCAAGTAATATATGTAATGTTTTACTTAATGATTTTGTTTAATGTACGTAATGTTTTAATTAATGTATGTAATGTTTTCTTGATGTACATAATATTTTATTTGGAATTAAAAATGTTTTATCGACATCAATCAAATTCAGCCATCGCTCTAGCATTCCCTTAAAGAAAAATGTGTTGAATGAGTATATTTTTATTAAGATTTTAGGTGGGGAAGAGGGGTATTCTAAATAATTATCCTAAATTTATTTTTAAGTATTTTGCATAATCTAAAAAGATGATTGTAATTGTTTAATAGTACAGAATTGGGATGTAAGACAAGATTTGCTCTCTACATACCATCTCAAGCTGAGAAGGAATCAGTACCGGTTATCTACTGCTTATCTGGTCTTACTTGTACAGAGGCTAATTTTAGTCAGAAAGCCGGAGCGCAGAAATATGCTGCAACTCATGGTGTACTTCTTGTCATACCTGATACAAGTCCAAGAGGGTTGAACATTCCTGGAGAGGATGACAGTTATGACTTTGGTACTAGTGCAGGATTTTATGTAGACGCGACATGTGAACCATGGAAAAAAAACTACAGAATGTACAGCTATATTACAAAAGAATTGTCAACTTTGATTAATAAAGAATTTCGAACTTTGCCATCTAAACAATCTATAATGGGCCATAGGTATAAAAAATAATTCTTTGGAATACAGGAACATTTCAGCACTCTTTAAATGCTTCTTTCTTCTTGTTTAGTATGGGAGGACATGGCGCTTTAATTTGTGCTTTTAAAAACCCGGGACAGTTCAAAACAGTTTCAGCTTTTGCACCCATAAGCAATCCAATCTTATGTCCATGGGGAAAAAAAGCTTTCTCAGGATACTTGGGAGGATCAGAGGATAATGCTGCATGGAAGGAATGGGATGCTACCGAACTAGCAAAGAAATATAATGGCCCACCTTTGGATATTTTAATTGATCAGGTTCTAATAATTTTTAATTGCATCTCTAACATGTGTTAACATTTAATTTTTTATAATGCATGACTTCTTTAATTTTTTAATTCAAACGATTCGTAATTCTATAATTTGTGTATTTCTATAATTTACAGGGCAAAGAGGATAAGTTTCTGAAAGAAGGCCAATTATTACCAGAGAATCTACTAAATGCTGCAAAGGATAAGGATAACATCGCACTAACTATCAGATTTCAAGATGACTATGATCATAGTTATTACTTTATTACTACATTTATTGAAGATCACTTTAAACATCATATGAAATATCTTAAAAATTAAGATTGTATCCAAAATTACTGTACCAAAAATATGTATTTTAAAAAATTGAGATTTTGATATTATAATTTATAAGATTTATATTTCTTATTTTAATGGAAATTTACATTGAAATAAATTTAAAAAATACTACAATTATGGTTATAACTTTTGAGTTTTATATGATAAAGAATAACTTTTATACTTTCTTATTTTGTTCAAAAATTTATATTTTACTACATGTAAAAATATGGAATTATAAATAATAGAAATATTGTATATCTGAATTTTTGTGTTTTTTTTAAGCAAATATTCTTGCATGACGATTAAAATTTTACAATTTATCCACAGAATATACCGTAAACAATATAACAAATTGAAATCTAAATTTAGAAAAAAGGGAAATATCATTATGATCTTGGAGGTTCTCGGAATTCATGCCAGAGACTTAGAAGAGGCTCTCGTTTCTGCCAAATATTGGCATTACCCCACACTTGCCAGAATCTGTAATTGTTAGAAAAAAATTATGTATGGAAATTGTATTGTTAGAAAAAAATTTGTGTGTGTGTGTGTGTGTGTGTGTGTGTGTGTGTGTGTGTGTGTGTGTGTGTGTGTGAGTGACGCGTGCGTGCATGCATGCGTATGTGTGATTTATATCAATATCTGCTAATCTCTTAATTTATATCATTTCCTTAATAAAATAGTGAAATTATTTTCCTAGAAAATAGCATTGCTTAAATTTAGAACATTATATGTTAATCTTTTATTTTTTAAATTTATTAAAATATAGCAGTAGAAATTGCTTATTTTATAAGAATTATATCATGTAATGAAACTTACATTCCAAACAATGCACCACCTAAATGCGCAGCATGATCAAAATATTTCCACCCTAAGATACAACCAACAACATCCAAAGCCATTATTCCTTTAATTGCCTAAGTAAAAAATACAATACGATTATACCATGGAAGACTATGGCTGGAATCCAAAGTCCATTCTTAATTTCAAGATGTCTCAAGCAATATCTTAAAATGGTAATACGGCTCTTTAATCGGTATATTCATAGTTGGATCTTATATTTAAGACCGTCTTAAATACAATCTTAAGATGAACCAATTAGAAGGCCGCATTAGCGACTTACGCATTAAGACATTACTTAAGACAGTCTTAAAATAAGAACTGATTGTAAATACCGGCCTTTGATTGGTTTATGACATCTCAAACACTAGCTTAAGACCATCTCGAATCTTACGTAATTTATGAATTCTGTTCTTATGTAATAATGGGCGAGTTCAAGACGGCAAAGCGGCTAGGTATGCTTACCGAGTGATTGTATATGATTAGTTGGATCTGTAAGTAATAACCAATTGTGCTCATTTGCTCAAACAGGCGGCAAACAGGCTAACCGCTTTGTTAACTTGAACGCGCCTATTATCTTCATGTTCGTAATCATGTAATTTGGATAAGATGGGATACTTACCATACCCGCTGTAAACGTGAGTATGGGAAGGAAAACTATACAGAGTCGTATGTCAGGATATTGTGTACATACAAATCCAAGAATACCCATAATCGCTCCAGACTAAAATAAAAATAACTATTAAAAGTTGAAACTTAAACAGATAGATATAATACAATAGAAGATATACAGACATACGCAAAAAATATGAAACTATATTATTACTTTCAGATAATTTTCAACATATCTGCAATATACAACTATTTGTTACTTTAATTGTTCAAATTAAAGTTAGTTACCGCTCCTAGAGAAAGGCCTGGCATTCCAAACATATTTTTATACACGTGACTAGCAAAGCTGGAAATTACTCCGCTTGATAAATATAGAGCCAAAAATTGCTCCTTCCCCAACGCTGTCACAGCTATTGTGCTGAAGCTGTGCAGCACGTACATATTCGCAGCCAGATGGATTATGGAGTAATGTGAAAAGGTGGAAAGTACCATAGACCAACATGACGCACCTTACATGAGAATTATTCTAATCAACATTTACGATAATTCAGAAGCAAAATAATTGTTATAAACTGCAAGCATTAGTTACTCAAGACGATGGTATCACTTACTAGAAGCCGGATTGGCGCAAAAATAACGCACCATTGTTTTCTGCAATGTCGGCACTCGCCACAATAAGAATATAACTGCATTTATAAAACATATAGGGACAAACATCTTCTGTCCTTCAGTCAAGTTCTGCCACCATGATTCCATCTCACTCTTCCATCCTGTTCGCTAACCAATGTATTATTGTATATTCTAACTAAAGTATCTATCGAATTTCTTCAAACAATACATACTTTAATTCGAAATTGTCTATAACGATGGATTAGTCTGTACGTCTGGCTTCTGATACGTTCGTACTCCCAAATTGCAGCACCTGCTATAGTGGCACCGCTAAACTAATGAAACAAAAACTAATGATGCAAAATATTCATATGTCGTTTATTTACTTTAAGAAAAGTTAGTATTTTAAAAATATTTTTTTAAAATTATATACACATATATACATATTATACAGGGTATTCCATAATTCCCAAATAATCGTCAAATATTTCATGGGCAGATAGAGCAGACTAAACTGAATCGAAAAGTCCTCGGAAAAACGGCAAGAAACAAAAATTGTTTCTCTTCTCATAAAATTCTGAGAATTTTTTTCAGAATTTCTTAGTTGCCGCATTTTCTCATGTTGATAAAAAGTAATTAGCAATAAAAAAATATAATACTAAAAAGTATATAAAAAATTTTGAAAAAATTTGGAATTCTATAAGAAGAAAATAAACCATTTTTATCTTATTGTTTTTCTACAAAAATAAGTTAATAGTACTCGAATAAAAAATTATTAAAAGTATTCATTCGGCTATTTTTAGTTATAAATATCTTATTAACTATAGCGAAAATTGCAAAATAATGGAGAACTTTTCGATTTTTTCAGTTTAATCCGATTTAATCCGAAAAAAAGAAAAAAAGAAAGTTAGTGATATTTCTTTTTTGTTATTTCATATTTCTTGTTTTTTCTTCATGCACAAGTGGAAAGGTACATTCTTAAATAGTTAAAAATAGCTTTGTTATATTATTTATTTACCATAATGGTGAAACCAAGATGTTTCCATAACTTTGCAGATGATACAGTTCCAATTTCGATATGAGCTTTAGGAAAAGGAGACTCTGATTTGAATATCTGTGACTTCTTTAAACTTCTTATTTGTCTGTACTGTAATACTTGCTGCATTTTGGCCTTGCAGTATTGTCTATTTATGAAAACACTAAAATTCCATAAATACATCAGAACATATTTCAGTTATAGCAAGTATAAGAGATTACAATACAAGTATATATCTGATTTTTAAAATATTTTGAATATAAAAGAAGAAAATATAATTTTGTACACCGATGCTTGAACCGTAGGTGCTATCGAGAAAAACATAAAGGAAGATTTACATCAAGAAATGAATGAAAAGCGGTTTATTACGCATAAGGCGTGAAGATCGATCTATGTCAGAATACATACGAAGTATGGTTTGTATCGAGAAAATAAGAAAAACAGTTCAAGTCGCACGAAATTAAAGAAGAGGTTATATAGCGCAATATATTTTTTTTATAAATTTTATAATAGTATGACTGAGAACGGAAATCGTTGATCTTCATTTCTGTATCTCGCACTCATTTATATATTATTTAATTTTCCGTAACTAAACTTGTGAGAACTAAATTTATGAGAAGTGAAATATTGTAATATAATAAATTCTTCTTTAATTTCATGCCACTTGAATTTCATGTTCTTCTTATTTTCTCTTGATAAAAAACCGTGCTTCGTATGAGTTCCGACAGAGATAGATCAGTCTTCACGCTTCATATGAAATAATAGATCGCTTTTCATTCATTTCTTGATAGAGACCTTTCTTCATGTTGTTTTCGAGCGATATAGGCTTTCTATGGCTCAGGCGTTGATACATTTTTATAAATACAAATATGACATGTTCAATCTAATATTTTATTAATAAGATCTTTATACCTTACACAATGCAGAGATATTTATCATTTTAGCAAAGTTATAGTTCTAACTATTTTACCATTTTAAGTAACAAAATAATATTACTGAATTGTAAAGTAATATTTCATAGCTTGTCACAAAGGAAAAAAATTCAATATTATAATTTACTGCAGCACAACCCTGATGAAAAATTTTTTCAGAGTTTTTCATATAATTTTTCAGAATTTTTCTATAATTTTTTAGGATTTTTATATAATTTTATAACTTTCTCACATTTTTTATATAAATTGGAACACTTTTCAGAAAATCTACGTCTTTTCTCATAATTTTTTACATATATTAATTATGAAATATAACATTTCTAAGATTTTTTGTAAATATAATTTCTGATAAAATATTATGAAATTATAAAATCTAAAATATTTAAAAATATTTTTTAAAAATTGTGGGATGAAAAATTTCAGAATATTTCAGAATTCACTTGTATGAAAAATTCTGAGAGAAGATATAAACTTTCTGAATATTTCTGAAAAATGTTCCAATTCAAAAAAAATTTTCACCAAAGAGAAGATGAATTAGAATAATTATACCTGTTAATGTGCCTTTTATGCCAATGCTTATTACTGAATTAATTATTAAATATTATAGCTTTAATTTTATCTGCTTGTAATCAATATCGTTTTTTCAACTACTTTTTCTTATAATATTTCTTTAATCTAAAAAAATGTTATTTTATAAAATTTTTGACAAAAATAGTAAATATGTTTTTGTCCCTATTAGTGAGTCCTCTAAATAGTGATGGCCTTATTAATATACCTCCAATTTATGTGCTTATTATCCACATTTGATTCATTTTAACATATAGTTACTAAAACAGGTAATAAATTTAAACTAATTGTTTATGTTAATATTACATAAATCATTATTTCATTTTTAATTATATTTATTTCAAAGTACATTCATAACACAATGTTCTCAGCAATATATGGCACATTAATAGGAACAAAGTATTACTGGATTCACATAAATTCCTCATCTTTCAAAAAATATTTAAAATACTTTAATACTAAAAAAATAAAATATTATCTTCGGTATCATATGCGTTAATAATTTAACTTAACAAACAAAAATATGTTTTTTTATTTATTTGTGCTAGTTTTCTTTGATTTATTGAAATACAAAAGCACATAATAAGGATAGGCACAGTAATTGAGATCTTATATAATTTCTGTATAATTCATTGTAAATATTATAGAGATTCTCTTCCACCTCAAATTTTGATAAAAATACACTAAATCGATGCGTTTGCATGAAATAAAAGAATCTAGCAGAAAAAAGTATCATTCTGCCCCACAGACCGAGATATTAAAAGTTAAAGTTGACGACTACTTAGGTTAGGGAATTTGTCATAGCAGTGGTTTATTGCTTTAAAAACACAAATTCACTGCTTTAAAAATATAAACTCTTTTAGCATAAAATTTATTTTTAATGTGAAAAATTGTGTTCTTAAAGTAAATTTATATTTTTAAAGCAATGAACCACTGCTGCGATAGATTTTTTTTAACCTGAATAATCATCGATTTTAAGGATTAATATCTCGGTTCGAAGGGCAAAGCGACATGTTTCCGTGTTTCTGTTTTTTATTATTCAAAAACGATAATATAATCAATTTTGATTGTTTATCCTTGTCTGATTCACATAATAACAAAAAGAAAAGAACCATAAAAACATTATCCTGAAAAAGACTGAGATGTTTACTCTCAGGTTTCTGTTAACAATTAAAAAAAAATTTAATGATTAATATCTTATTTTGAGAGACTGAGCACATTTTAATGCCAGAATCTTCCGTTTCATGCAGAAACACATCGAATAAACATAATTTCATTGAAATTGAAGGTGAGAAGCATCTCCTAATCTCCTGAATAATTATCAAAATTTCAAAAAATGATAGTCTAAAATCCCGGACACAATACAAGGAAATAGTGATAGAAATAATATGATTTCAACTATCTTGAAGAAATTGTATATTCCGATGTATCTGATTTCTGGTAGAATGAAATCGTGTTATTTCTATCCGCTATTCTCTCGTGTCTGAGACTTTATATAAACACTAAAAATCCGCACCATCTGTTTGCTATGTCGCCCAAATGTAAAAGCGTCCTGACCGTCATATTATTGGAATTTCCTGTTTGTTTGTAGAATGCATAAATATTCAATATACGCGAAATAAGCGAAAATTTTAATCACGCAGGATCTACATAACCTCTCATGTCACGTCTGAGGGTGCGATTACATGTAGCGCGATATGTGGTACGCGGTACAGAAACTAACTATAATGCTACGTTCCAAAATTTCTTCTCTGAGGAAGATTTTACTCTGTATGCTATAGTATACGTTACGTGTACTATATATTTCGAATAAAATTTTCTTTGAAAGTAAAATTTTCCTTGAAAGAAAAAATTTTGGAACGTAGCCTAGGTAACTATAAGAACCGCATAAACTGTTGCTTCTTTTTTCTTCTATGATGCGATCCATTTGACTCTTGTTACAAATGCTTTGAAGCGTTTTTTGATTGGTCAATTAGTAAAATTCTTTCTTCCGATTGATCAATCAAACGCTTCAAAGTATTTGTAACAAGTGAACCGTAGCTTATTAGAATAATGTGTATCACTAATCATAGAATCATTCTCTTAAATCTGCTTGCAAAATTTGCAAACAGATCTAAGAGAATGATTCTGTGATTGGCGATATCAATTCGCTTAAGTACGATCCGCTGCATGGGAATCACCTTAAAACCATTCTATATTCATCGTAGCGTCGGAAGCGTTATAAGTATCATGCGATTTAAAAATTGAAACATCGGATTGGCTGAAGCAACAAGCTTGCGACGTCTATGATACGAATGTAAAATGGCCTTTACATATAGCATAAATGGCACGGATCAGTGACAAATTCACGTTACTAAGCACTTGTTAATAGAATTAACTGATTTAAATGCAATTATTAAATAAATCGATTGAAAAAATAAAAGTATTGATGAAACGTGCATAGAAATAAGTTAATATATTTAAAAACATTCATATTAAAGTTTATTTGTCACTGGATCCGACGTGCGACTGGATATGACGTTCTACAATCAATCAGAAAGCAGAATTTTATTTCGTTGGCCTAGTTTCCACCGAGTGTTTAAACCAAATCAATAATGTAAGAACCAACCAACTACAATCGAGTATTCCCCTGTCTTGAGCCTTTCAATAAGCGATATAAATGACACAATGGATCATTACATCCTTGTTGTTTGCCAATGTTAAATCAAAGATGATATGATCATTGTGTCGTACTGTGTTGCACTATGTCGCTTGTTGAAAGGCATACTGTTACAGTCGACCGACAGAAGAATGTTTGATGTATGATGATACGAAGCAAATCCTGTTTTCTGATTGGTTGCAGAGTACGACGCATGTCAGATCCAATATGAATCTAGCATTTTGCTTGTTGAAATCGTTTGTAATCCCAGTTTAGCTAACCTTATAGCGAATTCGGCAGACCATACTAGTGCACCAGTGTAGTCAACCGTAGCATAATTATGCTATGTACCATAATCACTCATAACGTAGTTTGTAGCATTCAAGCTACTTATTATGTATTGTAGCATAATTTTTAAAAAAGTGTTTTTTTTAACATTTTTTGCCTTATATTAATAAAAATGCACGTAACACTATATTAGTCTAGCGTTCGCGCTTATGCATGTTTTTATGCATTATGGCTGCGTTTTGAAATTCACTTGTTAGATTTTCAGTATTGGCATCCGAAGTTGATCGATTTTGGAACACAGCGTGTGATTTTGATTATGTTGTTATTTATCTGTGTTAACGGTTAATATATTAATTGTTAATGTCATCACCAATACAGTGAAGTAACAAAATGTTGACAATTTTAAATTGTGTACGCTGTATATCGTAAGGTAACGAATTTATTAAAAAATTTATTAATAAATTAATTTTTTTAAAGTACATAACGAGATACTACTTGTTTTGCTCTTAAGTCGGTTCTACATTAGTTGCAAACTGATCGCAAATTTGTTGCGATAGCCAATCTGAAGCTCGCATTTTGAAATCAACACTTCATATTGGCTGTCGCAACAAACTTGCAATCAGCTTGTAACTAATGTAAAATCGGTTTTAAAAGCGATGCGATTTTAACTATTTAGATTTAGGATATTTATTTCGAAGCACCTAATAAAAAAAGTTTAATTATTAATAAAAAATTAGAATTTTATTATAATATTTTTGATATTATTGTATATAATATATATTTATACATTACAATATAATATATATTTTAAAAAAATATTTATTTGTTTTGATAACATCTTTTTTATTCAAATTTTTTTTATAATGAATGCGTTCGGAAAGATGCTATTTATGTTATTTAGCGCTGCAAACTGTTCGCGGAGCTGCAGATAGCGCTAACAAACGCGATCATGATGTTACTAACGATAGCATGTTACATCACAACTGTGCGCTATTAACGCTATTCCGAGATAGTGTATTGGCGTTAGCGTTTACAGATGACTCCGTGAAGACTCTAGCGTTGCTAGCGTTTAACATTCGTCAAGATTAGATTAATGTTTGAAGGGATTTTGTTCTCGAGTAGCATCAAACTTTTCTTTCTTTAGAATTTCGTAGAGTAAACGTACATAACGTGTGAATTTCAAATTTTATTATAGTAAATGCAATCTCAATTTCAATCTCTGCAATTGATGACTTGCCACTAGGCTGGAGTGAATGTAATTTTTGTTTGTGTATCATTTTTAACTTTTCAAAGTTTCTGCGAAGTTCAACTGTGTATTTGATTTCATTACAAATGTGAAAGTCAGAGCCAATATCTTGTTATTGGCAATTTTGAATTCCCGTGTAAGGAAAAAAATTACTATTGCGGTATAGCACGGCAGGGTATTCCGTTGCAGATGTTTAAGGTCCTTATTAGATGTACATGCATACAATGTAACTATATTAATTTTTTTATTTAGTTTATATTCACTCCGATCTAGCGGCAAGCCATCATAAAGATTGCAATTAAGATTGCGTTCTGTAATTCATTATAAAAAAAATTAAAAATTTATATTACAAATACTTTACAAAACTCTAAAAATTTAAATTACAGAGAAAAGTTTGATTGGTGATTGAAAACAGAATCTCCTCTATTAACTTAATCTCGACAAATATATCTTTCTAATTAAACGTTACAACGGTGATCAAAGTCTCTACAAATGCTTTGAAGCATTTTTTAATTGATCAGTTTGTAAAATTTTTTCTTTTAATTGATCCCTCAAACGCCTGCAGCATCGTGTTAACCATACCTATAATAAATGGGATGTTTTGATTGGTTAACTCGTGATGAAAACGGATGATGTGACGCGGTCAGTGAAAACGAAACCGTAGCATTTGTGCGTATATTGTCAGATTGAGTCTAACCGTCCTTCTATACCCTCTTTATTCTCTCTCATTGTCTCCTTTGATCAAATTTTTAAAGGTTTGGGTTTGGCGTAACATAATTCTATATAATTATATATAATTTTATATATAAATTTAAATATAAATACATATA